AAATATATTTAATAAAAAAAAATATTTAAAAATAAAATAAAAATATATTTTTTCAAAAATATATTTTTGAATAATATTCAAAAGTTCGAAGAAAACATTAAATCTAAAAAAAAAGACTTAGTACAATAAATAAAAGCAGCATTTATAGAGAGAGTATTTGTAACTAAAAAAATGATGTTATTTTGCCAAGATCAAGAGAATGAGACTCTTGACGCGAATTGCCTACGAGATATATACAGGAAAATGACCTGTGTGGTACGAATCTCGGTGGACACAGAATCGAGGGAGTGATTTCGCCGAGTCGGAACGCGCTTCCTTTTTCCGGTGGAAAAACGGTAGGTTAGCGAAGCGCGAAACCAGGAAAAACATCCGCGGCTAAAATATCGCGGCGAGACGGACCACAATAAATTATCGCACCGTCGACGATTAATTCTTGCCGGACCGGCGATTAATCGCGTCCTACGACACAGAGATGCGATATTTTATTGCCCTTTACCAAACGTTTCTTTTCCTCCCCCGCTAAACTTGAAACATGAGAAGCGCGAGACATGCAAAGCTCGAACAAATCCTCTCTCGTGTTCTGTACGACGTATGATACACAAGGCGCATTACATATAACACATTATCCAGTTAAGCCTGACGATTAACCTTAGTATAGTATTGTTATTTTTGGTTACTTTTCCGCTAACGCTAGGGTTTGTGAACCCCTGCAACTTTGTCACGCTATATCTCTGGACTGAATACGTAAATTTTTAGATCAAAACGTGTGAAATTTATACCTCGAAGTCAGACAAAAACAGATAAATATGAATCAAATAAATAATATTTTATTTTCAATTAATTACAATGCTTCAAAGATATTTTATTGGAAAAATTCGCAAAAAATGGCTACTTTGGATAAAAAATTCTCAAATTTTTAAATTTAATGTTCAAGCAAAAACCCGTTTAAAAAAAAAAGGATTTTTTTAGTTGACTCTTTGGACTAACAAAAAAAATAGTACAATATAAATCGCTCAAAAAAGTATAATTATTTGAACTATTGAAAATCGACATTTTTGAAGAATCTACATATTTTAAGTTTACAATTAATAAATAAAATTTTATTATTTGAACAATATAAAAGAGTAATAATATAAGCAGATAAAGGATTGTACATGTATAAATATTATTATAGTATGTATAATTAAATTTATTTAGTTTACAGGATGATCCAACACTCGTTCTAAAGCAATAAATCCGCCTCGGCCGAGCGATCTTCGAAGACTGACAGAAATTATAAAATTTCTACTATTTATTATATTAAAATATAATTCTTTTTAATTCTACATTTTAGTGCACTTACTTTTATACTATCTGAAACTCAGTAAACGTACATTTAATAAAAAATAAAGGGGTACCCAGAACACCGAAAATTTACAAGCTAATCACATGTGGGTCCCAAGTACCCTCTTTGAACTTTCGTGCATTCTCCCATCGAAAATAACGCAAAAAATATCCTTGCAGGCTTATCATATCTATGGACATTTAAAGTTCTTTTTCAGCCTCAATCCGGGTTTTCAAATTATTATTATAAAAAAGTTATAGCAATGTAAAAAATCGCATAGAGTACGTTAAACCCATGAATACCATACTATAGAGTTAACGCGTTTATAGACTCCCTTGGAATT